TAATATTTTTCTTGGGAGCATATTCCTTTGCAGCAAACCTTTGCAGAAATTCTCTGTTTTCTTCTAACATGGATTTCACTTTAATAGTACTAATAAAATAATTCCCTGTGTATAATAGTACTAACAATGTGAGCATGTGAATACCTTCGTCTTTTGAGCAAAGTACGACAGAGTATGTCTGTCACCTTAATTTCAAGGGGCACATACAAAAGGCTTTAATCTTTTTAGCTCATAGATGGTTAAAATGTAAGCATCGTATTAGCTCCTCTGCCAGATTTCAAGATTTAAGTTAAATGCTGAGGTCAGTTACATGATGGAGTTCTAAAAATGCTTTAATTGGTGCATCAGCTGTATGCTCTGGCACTGAGTTCTGTAAATCGGGACTGGAAAAATACTTCTGCAAAATGTCTCTAGGTACAGGCCATTGAGGACAATAAATCCAGACTTTGGTAAGCCGGAAGCAGAAGAAGTTAGAAGTTGCATGAAAACTGCAGATATACTGCAGATAAAAATAGCATTCTTCTGAATATTTTGCTCTTCACATACAATTCCCCTTTTTACAGTGCCGGTGTCAGTGAATTTTGTTCTGCCGTTCTAGTCAAAGCCCTACAAAGCACTGACTGTTCTCAGAAGTTTAGTAAAAGTATGCAAAAAAATCTGTCCAAAGGGTGAGAGCCGCAGCCCCTTCCGTGCTGTCTCAGCTTTCCTTGCAGAGATTCTGACAGCATGTGCAAAAATCTCTTTTCATCCCTCATTTTACTCATGGTCCTTCTGGCCTTGCTGCTGAAATGCCTCTGGAACTGTAGGATGTATAATGTAAAAATGTATGTGTGCTTCATTAGGGCTGTAGGTAAAACTATGCCAAATACCTGGTTTTAGTGTGTCTGAATTAGACAGTGAAGTGCCAGGAGCCTTGAATATGGGTAAAATGCACAAATTTTGCATGCAGGATGATTAGATCAGATTTAGTTTTATCAGATTCTTTAAAAAATAGAGAATCTGTAGAATGTTGATCATAGTATATGTAATTTCCGGTATTGATTACAGTGTCCATTCAAAAAATTAATCTACATGATAAAATCAACAGTTTTGTTCTTTTTTTCTTTTTTTTTTTTCTGGAGAGCACATTGGGTAGGTATGCAAAGGAAACCCTTATGGGAAAAGGACAAGAATGGCAAAAAAAAAAAAAAAAAAACAGTTGTTTGACTTGGGTGAATAACATAAGTGTGATTGTGCCAAGGATATCACAAAGGAAAAGAAAATGTAAAGAGAGACCTTGGGAGGCTAATTGGAATGTGCAAGAGGTAAGTCAACATTAGTCAGTTTTATTTTATTGTAAGTATTGCAATATTTTATTTCTTCCCTTAAATCTACCTTGGAAGTGTGATTTTTAGAGCAGAGCAGGATTTAGGGTAAAAATTTATATATATTGCTTACCGGACACAATTGATGTAAGCAGTGCTGGTCCTAATGTTGCCTCTGGGGTATTCTCTGTTTTGCTATTCCCATGCTGGCTGGGAGGAAAAACACACTCCTTGGTGCCTGAGGATAGGGATAGACGTTATGCATGGGAAAATGCTGCGCACAGCTCTGTGAGCTCGTGTCTTGGGAAAGGCACGTGAAAATGGAACCACTTTGAATTTGATGAGGGCTTGTATTTGTAGATGGGGCCACTGAGTTTAGATGAGGAAGGCCAATATGGGTGTGTGATTTAACAGCTAAGCAGAGATTGAAGGAGGTAGGTGAACAACTGAATACAGGTAGGAGATGTTTTATTCTGGTAATAAAGTTGGTCTCTCTTAGCTATAAATATGCAAACCAGCATAGTCGCAGCTGCACTAGAAGGGAATTTCTCGTTTAGTTAGAGTTGAATAGACCCAAGGCACTAGAGAACTGTTTAGTCGAAGAGGAAAATCTGAATAGCAAAGGAAAAAAGGAAAGCAGGAAGTAAAAACACTCAGAATTATTAAGCAGCTAATTTGTGTTTAGTAAAAATATTTGCAAAGATATTTTGACATCTTTGTTATTAGTCATCAATGACCAGAAGTATTTATTTTGGTCTTAAAGACATGAGCAGAAAAATCAGTCGGTGGTGATATTTTTCCCCAGTGGCCAAGGCAGCCTTGTCTTTGTTCCCGGGGCTCCTCTGTGCGGGGATGCAGGGTGCAGGGATGCAGATGCAGCAGGGGCTCTGTGCAGGGTCCCGCAGCAGGTTCTGGAGCGAGTGCCCAGGGCTGCGCACTCAGGACTGTGGCTAAACGCTCTTGAAGAGATTCAGACAGTCCAGATGTTCAAAAATGGCTCTTTAACAAGCCTGTCTCTAAAAACTGACCCTTCTGGAAATTTGCAGCTTCCATGAAAGAAAAAAATATATATTACATTACATTTTCTTGATGGCGCAACCATTCTGTCTTTTAAATCTATCTGCTTTCAGAATAACTTGTTCAGCATTGTTTTCTGCTTGTTCTTAAGTGCCGCACATTGTTACAATCTGTTTTGCTGAGAGAACAGTCTCCAGTTCATCTCATTTTTAAGTGTTTGGCTCCCCTCACTTCTCAGTTCCCAGTTCCTTCTACCAACGTTCCGGGCCGAAGCTTCCCCAAACCCATCCGTTTGTTTCTGCCCTTTCCTTTCCTTCCTTTCCTGACAGAAGTGGATAAGGTGGAACAGAAGTTAATGGAAATACAGATTAGAACTTGGTTGTGCTCCCCAATAGTATATACTGAATTTATAAACTCCTATAATTCTCTGCTATGCATGAAGAGCAGTGTGCAGACGCGCCCATGCAGATTAAAAATGAACCAAGCTGGTGATTTCAGGGAAGCAGCACGAGCTTTAACACAGAGGTTCTGCTTCTTTTGGCTCTCCCCGGGCTGTTCGGAGCTTGCATAAGACCAAGAGAAACTCTGTCCAAGTGGGCAGCAGCTGTAGAGACCATTCGGCAAAGACTGTTGGAAGCGGGACAAGGGAATTACGCTTCGTGCCCTAACTTGACACGATTTGAGCTGACACACTGACCTAGATGAACCCGAGCACCCAGATGGGGTGCATACATGTAGAAACAGCAACACTAGCGACAGGGGCAAACACCAGAAACCGCGTTGTGCTCTCAGTCATCTCCTGCGTTTTTTGTTTTGGTTTTGGCTTTGTTTTTGCAATTTCCTGGCTTTTGTAAAGTAGAAGCAACTCGGTGCGCGGCGTTTAAAAAGTGCGTTTTCAGATCAGGAACGAGGGCTGCGGGGCTTTTGCGGCCGCTTGATGCCCCGCCGGCGCAGCCGCTGCCTGGGGCGGTTCCCGCGCGGGGCCCCCGGGCCGCTCCGCTCCGCTCCGCTCGGCTCCGCGGGGCCGCCCTGGCCGCGCCTCCTCCGCG